TGAGGGGATCCAGAGGGATTTGAGGGGATCCACGAGGATTTCAGGGATGTCGGATCCAGGGGGATTTGAGGGGTGTCAGGACTTGAGGGGATCCGGGGGGATTTGAGGGGTGTCAGGGATTGAAGGGGGCCTGGGGCACTCGATGGGAACCAGGAGGATTTGAGGGATGCTGAGGACTCAGAGAGCAGCCAGGGGGGCTGCAGAGGGGTTTTAAGGGGAACCAGGGGGAATTGAAGGGAGCAGAGGAGTTTGGGGGGACCAGGGGTTCTGGGGGGCTCAGAGGGATTTGAGGGGTGCCAGGAGGACTCAAGGGGGACCAGGAATTCTGAGAGGAAATGAAGGGGACTGGGGGTACTCGAGGAGGGCTGGGAGCCAGGGGGATTTGAATGATGCTGGAACTTGAGCAGGACCAGGAGTTCTGAGGGGAGCCAGGGACATGGAGGGTGACAGGATTTGTGTGAAGGGAGCCTGCAGCTCGAGGCAGACGTGTAATCCTGACACAGATCAGAGCAAACACAGGTAATGGTTGGAAAAACGCAGTTAGCTCCTTCTCAACATTACCACAACTCAACACCTCCCAAAGCCCAGAGCCTCGCTCAGACCATGACACACTCTGCCTGGGACACAGCTGAAATATTCCAAATATAATGCAGAAGAAGCATTCATCTCTGCAATAAATCTCACTTAGTGAAGACTTTGGAAGCAGTACAGTCATGTCTTGGTAACATGAAGAAAATCAAGAGAGAAAGCAGCCAGATTCCCTTAAAATGATTTCTGGGATACAAGTGGGCTTGTTGCCTTGCTCCTCCTGGAAGAATCTCTTTTGGAGAGACTGAATGTGGTAAAATGTAAAAGGTTGCAGCACTTCCTGTGTTAAAAAAGCTGATTTTTAATGACCTGCTCTATTACCATCTGAGCAGACAGGGGTTTGTATGTGCAGCTGGGAATCTGTTTTTGTGCTCTGCATGAGTATTGGGGCAGGTTTCTGGGCTGGGACCTCGGAGAAGTAAATCAAAACTAAATCAAAACTATGGTTAAGGACTCAAACTGTCTCCTGTGGAGCTTTAAGTCTCTTTTTATTACTGGAATGCTTTTTCACAGAACTGGAAATTGAGTATTTCTGAGGCATTCCTAAGTGAGGGAAAGAATTATTACAGTAAAGGTATAATATCATTCTTTATTACAGTTTTTTATACCACCCAGCTAATTTTCTGGAATTTGTTGATTTTCTTTTTTTTTCCCTCCTGAAACAGATTCTGTAATTAACAGTTAAGTTTGTATTTCTACATTCACATTTCACACAGGCCAGGCTGGAGGGGGCTTGCAGCAACCTGGACTAGTGGAAGGTGTCCCCGCTTGGTGTCAAGGTCAGCTGGAGAATCATTTTTTTCCCTCAATGGGATACGTGCCACGTTTGTCTCCAATATTTTTCTGGAAGAAACCAACATTTATCCTCCCTGTGGTGGCAGCGCTGGTGTCCCTTTCAAACTGAATTC